GTACTCACCTGATGGACTGATGAATGTACTGGGAGAAGGCATGTGAATACCAAGTGATGATGGTGATGGCACCGGTGCGAAGGGTCCCGGAGAAGGTGCATGGGCGGCACCACTTGGTGAACTGGTTGTCAGCAGCGTACCTACAAATACATATGTTGTATAATATGCAAATATGTTTTATACACATACAATGTACACTGCATGGTTCGCACATGAAGATACATGTATAATAATGTGTGTTGTTCGCTGCTGCGATACACGTCTGTATTTCAGTTAATTAAACAACTTAAGAGAACGTTGTCACATAAGATTGCAAACAAGTGTGACAAAAATGATGACATCATGCACTGTGTTTCAAATTCAACAAGATAATTAAAAGAAATAAACTAATGATGAAACTATGCACTCCATCTCACTTTTGAGTAATGTAAACAACTTTTACCTGGTGATGGGGTTCCTATTATCGGTGATGGTGCAAAGCCACTGGACTGCGACGGAGGAGACGCTAGAGGATAGGCGCTGGACACAGGTGAAGTCCCATATTGCTGGGCCCCACCACTCTGAGACAGGACTGATCCATGTGGAGATGCAGGGGTGGCAGGGTTGCTTGGAGGGGTCATGGGGTGGGCAAAATTGCCACCCATTGGAACTCTGGACATTGGTGATGCTGTGGACGTATGGGATATAAACTCCATGGTATCCATACCGATGGGTGATGGCGGATTATCATCTTCACTCACGGAGCGTCGTCTTGCATGTGTCACACTATCATCTATGAACATAGTAAGAAATGCCTGCAATGGAAGCAAAAACAGGGAATTATACATCCCCCATATCATAAAATGTTATATTTAAATATGTTCAACTTCACTGGTGACTCATTGGATATTTGAAATTTTATTTCATCAAAAGAAATATGTCTATATAAAAATAAAATATATCAATAGTACATATAATAAATATGAATAATGTAGGCTAAATAACTATAAGCATTACAAATAATACATTTCTAGCTTTCCTATAGTCCTATAATCTACACGAGTTCTACACAACCTGCAACAATCCATCCACACTGGCAGCATAGTGGTTGTTGCACCAGATTCATGATTGGTAGACCCAAGTTCAAATCCTATCTCAGGCTGAACATCAAAAGGGTCACCCTCTACCCTGAGTGAGTGTGCCACAGAGTCAATGAGAAGGCCAATTTCACTGGCCGAGATTCATTCACTAACTAACGTGCTTGTGTTTGACAGAGCCTGGTTGACGCCAGGATAGCGCATTAAATTGCCATTTGATAGAGAGATGGCCGCACAGCCCTGTCATGTCGTCCCAAACATGAATATGGCTTCTGTGGCAAAAATGCACAATGTATCAGCACTAGCACATTTGAAAAAAATAAATTCCATCCACTCCAGTATTTTACAGAGTTTATCATGTGACACATCATATGACCAAACTGATGATTTACCTTAAGTGCCGGTGTAGGAGTGAATCCTTCAACCACTTTACTGACATCAAACAAACTATAGGCGCCATCTGAAATCAAACAATAAATACCATAGTTACAACAAGTACGTAAAAATGTGACAGAAAATTAAATACACTACAGGGCAGTCAATCATTAAAACTGACAAGATACAAAATGCAAGTCGTTTGTAAATGGTTCTGACTCTCCCACCTTCTTGATGTGAAATTTGGGAAAGTTCAGTTTGCATTTTTACATACATTCATGTACATTCCCACTTTGTATGTTCCTTTGCATGTTACTGGTTTTAGTAGTGCATGTCCATTGTTACACATTCACTTTATGTCTGTTTCTTGTACATGTTTTGCATGGTTGGATTTTGACACATAGAATATGAAATTAACTTTTACCCTTGCCCTCCTGCCCAATCGAACTACTTACTTTTCTTGTGCTTCAGTTTTAATAATTGACTGCCCTCTAACTAATATGATAACACAGAAACACACACATGCACAAAGAAGCCTAGAATACAGTTTGGAACCATGAGTTTCTTATTCAATTTCCTCCCAATACTGACCTCTTATTGCTACCATGTTCTTTCCTTTACACTGAATATCAAGGCAGTATCTGATTTAAGATTTAAGGAAAGTCTTAATATACAAATTCTCACTATTAACATAACTTACATAGCACAAAGTTTTCATTGACACATCGTTAAAGAAATCATAACAATCAAACTACACTTGGGCTGATAAGTATGGTATGATGGCATGTTTTTGGGTAATTAATTGCATCTACATCCTTGTACTTTCATACTGTGCAGGGTTTAATTATTGGCTTGGTTTTATTTCGGTGAATATTTAATTTAATAACAGAATGTTACATTTCCCTTATAAAAAAGTGATTTAACAAATTTTAAAATGAAAATCTGTGCAACAACAACTTCACTAAATTAAAAACCAGTGAGAATCACTATCTTGGAGCACAAAATGCTTTCACAGACTTGATTGTGATGATCACATTATTCCTGTGCTCCAACATCAGGTGACTTTTTGTTTCAACTTAAAGCATTCAGTAATTTAGACACATTGTAAATTCAGTCACACTACTGTGTATATTGAAAGGATACGTGCTTCTGAAGGCAATCCTAATATGTGTAGATGACTGTGGCATAATTGTAAAACTCTGCCACGCTGCTAGTGGACCCTGTGAACATAGAGAGACAATGCAACAATAAGAACAAACAAGTCATTGAAAATAACACAGTCCCCATTAAATTTTTTAAAGTTCTCTTTGTGCTAGTCATATTAAAGTGGAGGGGTTGTCGTGAGTATGTCCTTGAAACTTGAGTCCCAAGTGGCGTAAACAACAGATTGTTTATTTACATCAAATTCGAACATGTGTTGCGTGACAACTCCTTCGGTTTAAAACATAGAAAAGAAAAACATAGATCACAAGTGAAAGCATCTCCAAGTTATCACATTTTAAACAAACAAACAAACGAGTGCACGAACGGACAGAGACCGAATTATAAGTCCCCGTTTTTGGACTTTGTCTGAAGGGGGGACTAATAATTACACCAGAGAGAGACCCAACAGGTGTCCAAGAAATTTAGTTAATTTTGAGGCATGCATTCAATGCTGCAATAAAGAAGCAGCCAGGCCTTATCAACGCCAATAGATATTCCCCATACTCACTTCATGACCTCAATCATATTTACAATGAACTGATGGTGATGGATATAAATTCATGCTAGATATAGACCCCCCCCCCCCCCCGAAGAATTGAGTGAACTCACAGTCTGCAATCCTAGTACAGGAATGATTGGTAATTTACATATCGCTTGCAATGGACTCTGGGTATCATGAAGTATCTGAAATAAAACACATACACAAGATATGTATGCTGTGAATTGATGGTCAGAATTACAAAGATGATACATCAGAAGATGAGAATACACAGACTGCATGATATTACAATTGCACAGCACATAAGACGTGGTGTTATTATACTGCATAACTTCAATTACCACTGAAATAAACTCAGGTCTAGAGTGCAAGGATATAGCGGCATATACTATTGAACACATGTCGAAGTGCCTCAAATAATTTAAAATGGGTCTTTAATGTAAATAATGTAATGGTATTATAAGTCAAGGTTTACGATTTAATAACTTGTTGGCTTATTCACCTTGACATTCAAGTACACATACATACAGATGCTCATTCAATTTTAGATTTTGGTTTACTTTTACCAACCAATATTTTGAACTGGAATTTCTTTGTTAATTTTGGACCAAATGAACAAAATTGCTTATTTTGTGAAAGGTGCTAAAAAACTTTAGTTTAGCACTCAAAGTTTTAATACTAACATAAGATTTATAGAATGTTAATTTCATGAATGAAAGTACATCTTTATAATTAGACCATGATGACATGTAAATCGTATTTGATTGAAAATAAGTGACACTGTGTCAGATGCTTACCTGAACCATGTATGGAAGATTCTTATGTTGATTCAATTCTTGTTCCAATTGTGATAACACTAGCGTGTGGCAATTGGCTGTAGATGATAGACCACACACCCCTAAATTCAAATGGAATCTTCTATCTGATGGCTGCCATTGGATGGTAATCTATGATTAAAAAAGATAGTGTTCAGTTTTAGTTTCTAAGTTGATTGATTGGCTAGACAATGTTCGAAGGCAATGAGACCTGGCCTTGACCAAGTCAGGTGTGATGTTACCAAATCTAACCTGCATTGACCAATAATGTAGTGTGATTGTGCCTGAACTTACCCCTTACCTAATCCACCCC